TTTTTTAATTTTCATGCAAAAAATTCTTCAGGTCACATTTGCCTTCATTTTTAGCTGCACTATAAGATAGCACTTTGCCAAAAATTTAATTTTGAAAAATTTTTAAAATGGCGGATGATTAAAGTGGGTCATAAAAATGCACTACAATATGTCCAAGGTTTTAACACATAAGTGTTGTCAAAAATTCAAAAAAATTTCTTACTCGGGGCTATTTTCGATCGTTTATCATGAATCTGATATTAGAAATTAATTTTCAAAATTTTGGATCCAATATGGCAGGTTGCAAATTTTAATTTTCTACATTTTCGAAGTATATATTCTAAAACAACGTCAAGGGCGATATTTGGAAGCGCTATTTACGAATCTAATGTTAAAAATTTGTTTTTTAAATTACCGAATCTAATATGGCATGGCGGATTCAAAATTTTTTTTTAAATATTCCTTTAATAATCGATTTTTAAGAGCAGAGGTATAAAAAGTTAAATTTCTATAAAAGAGTTAAGAGTTAAGAAATTTAATATTATTGAATTTATCACTTGGTGAAATTATATTAATATGTATAAGAAGTTATCAATCCTCCAAGTCAATCAATAAAAAAAGGAAAAAGAAAAAATCTTTTTTTAACGTTTCGACAGCACAGCCGTCCTCTTCAGAAACTGCAACATTTATTATAAATTACAAACAAAAAAAATAAAACAAAAGAATCACAAAAATGAGATGATTCATATTGGACTACAACAAAAACCTCTTAACAAAAAAGATGATATAAAATATTTAAATAAACAATATTTGAATTTCTTTTCTAATAAATTTTGATTTGTTTTGTTAAAATTATTTTCTCAATTAATACTAAATAGCAATATCTCTGAGATCGGTCTTTACCATTTAGGTGTATATATATATATATATTTGTATGCCTTTGTAAATATTTATGTACTTCTGCAACGAGTTCATTGACTTCAAATTTACACGTGTTTCAATTTGTTTAATTTCTATTCGCCTTTTAGTTTGTCAGTTGAGTTCGAAGAGTGATAATGCTCGTACTATGTCATTATAAATAATTTTTTTAATTATTATTTTTTTTACGGTAAACAAACAAAAAAAATTTTTTTATATATTTTTTATTTGTGTAAATTTTGGTGGTATTTTTGTGATTCTTTTGTTTTATTTTTTTTTGTTTGTAATTTATAATAAATGTTGCAGTTTCTGAAGAGGACGGCTGTGCTGTCGAAACGTTAAAAAAAGATTTTTTCTTTTTCCTTTTTTTATTGATTGACTTGGAGGATTGATAACTTCTTATACATATTAGTTAAGAAATTTTTTTGAATTTTTGACAACACTTATGTGTTAAAACCTTGGATATATTGTGGTGCATTTTTATGACCCACTTTAATCATCCGCCATTTTAAAAAATTTTCAAAATTAAATTTTTGGCAAAGTGCTATCTTATAGTGCAGCTAAAAATGAAGGCAAATGTGACCTGGAGAATTTTTTGCATGAAAATTAAAAAAGTTATGAATTTTTTTTTAAAAAGTGCATTTTTCCTATGTATTTTTAATGGGAAATTTTGATGGATCTCTGGCACGTGTTAATATTAATCAATCGGCTTCAAATTTTGGGAAATTTTTTTTTATTTTATTGGAACTAAACTGGGGGGTGGCGTAAACAAAATTCAAAAGTCACATTGTTACGGACACCCTATTGTGCACGTTTGTACGCTCGCTTCACATTCCGCCTCGCTACGGAATTTAATTCCGCGGTACGCGCTCCCACTAAAGTCGCAATATCTCGAGAACTATTAGAGTCTCCATAAATTTTTTTTTATGAAATGAAAGGTGAAATTACAAGAAATCGATATTTACTTATTAGAAAATTCAAAAATTAGGCCAACTGAACTAAAAATTAATTCAAAAAATTTTTTTGACTTTTTTTTTGACAAATTTTGGAAATTTTTTTTGTTCATAATATCAAATTAAACTACGTATTTTTAACTATATCGCCTGTAAATTTTATTAAAATCGATTAAAAAGTTTCAGAGTTATTAATTTTTGAAAAAAACGCAACACTCATTTTCAATATGGCGTAGCGGCCGCCATTTTGAAAATTTTTCAAAATCCTTTTAGGGTTAAATTTAATTCATATAAGACTTCTATTTCCCAAGGTTTCGAAGAAATCGGAAGACCACTTGCAAATCGCTTTTTTTCTGACGGAGTCTTACCCTTATTAAACATTTTTTCCTAAATGATTTTACTTTTATTAAAACTTTAAAAATGTTGGTCCTGATTGATGTGGTTTTATTTCATGAAATTAAAATTTTATTTTTAGAAAATATATATGGGGCAAAATTTCTCAAGTGAACCAATGTCAAAATTGCAAGTTGTTGGATCGGGCTAATATTTTCACAGTATTTAGTACTATGTATGAGTACTTCAACCACCAAGTATTATGAAATTTTATAATGACGATAAAAAATATTAAAATTATTGTATCTTTCTTGTATCTGCCTATAATGTAATGATTCTTTTTGTCCCTAATTCCGGATTAAATGTTCTTTGAAATCCCACAGGTTTAATTAAAAGAATTTTAAATTTAACAAAATGGCGGCTATTTTTCGAAAAGAAATCAAATCAAATTTTCTCATAAAACCCCAGCGTTTTTTTTCTTCTCGATTTTTTTATTACTTTCTGGAAGTCTAACGATTATTTTCCAACAGAATTTATCGGGGTCCCGCGACTTAAAGAGGAATAAAATTTTTTTTTGTTTTTTCAAAAATGAAAATTAGAAGTTTTTTTGCTACATTTACAATATACAACAAAATTTCAAAAAGAAAAAACGTTCGTCTTGAAAAATGATGTAGGGGAGGGTAGGCTACATTGAACCGGGTATTTTATAAAGTCCAAGAACTAATTAAATTTTATAAATGTCGATCAGGTTTTTGTATCAAAATTAAGCTGAAGTACTCCTTTAGTTAATACACACGTTACAAACACAAATTATTATGATTAAATAATTAAATTTAATTTTTTTTAACAAGTTACACTTTTCTTATTTTGAAGGATCTGTGTCTACATTGAACCACCTTTAATAAAACACTACAATTTACTTCAAAAATAATATTTCCACTTACACGTATTGTAAAAAATCTTATTTTTCACTCAAAAAAATAGAAAATTGTTGTTAAAGAGTTATTATTTGTTAATATAGGAGATTAATATATTTTGATGTCAGGTTAGGTAGGTAAAGTGACAGTTTGAGTTTATCTCTTTTACAATTGTGATGAAAGCATGTCTTTCAGTATTTTTCTTACTAATTAGTAGAGCAGACAACTTTACAACTCTTAAAATTGAAAATTCTTTGCTTTTTCGGGTATTTCAGTGATGCCGCACTCACTCTATTCACATGACATTCACAACAAAAATTGTTTATAATAAATATATGTAAGAGTTAAAATTCTTTATCACATCGGAATATTGAAGTTGACACCCTAAGCGAAATAAATCACAAGTTTACTAATTTTTAAAACTTCCTATTTCAAAAAAAAACTTGATTATATTTCCACAAAATTTTTTGTTTTGTACGTGAAAAACAGTTTTTTTAGTTTTTCTTTATAAATAATAAACCTACGTGCCCGAAATTTTTGGACATAGTCTGTTTCAGTAAAACTAACTTATATATTTAATAAGAAAAAATTTCACTTAGTCATTTCTCAGAAAATTGAAGTGGTTCGCTGTTGACGCTGGTTCAATGTAGCCTACTCTCCCCTAAATATTTATTAGATCTGACATTTTCACTTTTCAGAAAATTTAAAGTATTATTAACTGTAACACGCATTAACCCATTATCGCTAGTGTTGCCGCAAGACGAGACAAGACGAAATTTTTTTCAATCTTGTCTCGTCTTGAAATGTCAAGACCAACAAAGACACAGGTCTCCTCAGAGGTGGGCAGGTTATTCTAAAATGTAACGCTACAAACTTGGTGGGGAGTGGTTCCAAATGACTTCCAGATTCCAAATTTTCAAACCGATAAATCGTACCTGATCCTCTTTTCGAATTATCTCTTTTACAGATAGTCGGAAACTTGAAAATGTATTATCTTAATGTGGAAGCTTTGATTCAGAAGACTGCTGATTTTTCGTTATTAAAAATTTTTTAGACAAAGATTTTATAGATAATAATTATGTTCATGATTTTGATAAAAGTGGGGATAGGGGAGAGTGGGGCAAGACGGGGTACTTGTTTTATTTCTCCATCCTTTTTTTGGCGAAACTCTTGTCCACTGATGATGATGGAGAACGAAATAATATACGCACGAGACACAAAAACAGAAAATAAAGATTCGCAAGAAAAAATAATTAATTAACAAAGAACATTAATAATAATTAACACAAAATGGACACTTAAATAATTATTTTAGTTTATTATTACTTCTCGGTTTGAAAGTACACGAATAACTGAGTAAAATTAATTTTGTTCTTACCTAAACCCTCTTTTCTTCACTTCAAGGAAGGGGAAGGTTCAGGTAAAACGTATTGTCGATTTTGGTTCGAACCCCTTTCTTTCTCATCGTAAAGAGAAAGAAAGTTTATCACAATCGTATCGCCCTTTTATTGACTTTGAGCCTTTGTTTATCCCATCGCGAAATAAACAAAGGTCTCTACAATTTTATTACCACTCATACCTGAATATCCTTTATAAATTCAAAACTAAATACAAATTTTAATATTATTTCTCACCTAAGACTGTCCATCCTCCCCCGCCGTTGAGAGTTCTATCGATCAACAAGATCATCGTAGAACATGAAAATCGTCGTTACTTAACATAGTTTAACAATGATAGATACTTTCGTAGAGTAATTAATAGATTTATAATAATTAAATCACATTTAATATTAAGTGTAACGTAGCAAACTCAAATTATATTAAAACTTAATTTTAATTTACAATGGAAACTAACATATAACTCGTTATCCTAAAAGATCGTCTTCGAAATATCGATGTTTTTAATCGACATCCTCGTTGTCATCGATAGGCAACTGGGCGAGTTTTCGAACGTTACGTTTAAATTCCCCTTTAAACGTTTTTACCGTTACCGTTCGAACGACGCCATCAGATCCTGGAAACGTTTTAATGACTCTATCCAGAACCCAATGCATCGGAGGAGTATTGTCTTCTTTCAATATGACAATAGCACCCTCTTGAATGTGATGGTTGCCACCTTTCCATTTGTGACGTATGTTGAGTCCGTTTAAATACTCTTTGTGCCATCTACTCCAAAAGTCTTGACGCATCTTTTGAAGGTGTTGCCATCTCGATAATCGTGGTGTTGGTGTAAAATCTAATTCGGGTAAGCTTGTTAGCGAATCGCCAATTAGGAAGTGACCAGGGGTAAGGACGATAAGGTCATTGGGATCGTGTGAGATCGGAGTGAGCGGACGAGAATTCAATACCGCTTCAATTTCGATAATGAACGTATTTATTTCTTCACATGTGAACAAAACATTTTTTACGACCCGTTTTAAATGATGTTTAAAACTTTTAACTATTGATTCCCAAATTCCCCCGAAGTGAGGAGATAATGGGGGTATAAATTTCCATTCGATTCCTTGATTAGTGAGAAACAAGGTTGTTTTTTCATTGAATTCCTTAGAATGAAGAAGATTACCGAGATCTTTTAACTCATTGTTAGCCCCTATAAAATTCGACCCATTGTCTGAACTAATAATAATAGGTTTTCCGCGACGCCCTATGAATCTTCTTAATGCACCCAGGAAGGTTTCAGTGCTTATATCACTGATAACCTCTAAATGCACAGCTTTTACCACAAGACATATAAAAACTGCTACGTATATTTTAATTTGCGTTCGATTACGATATTTTTTTTCTTTTATGTAGAAGGGACCACAATAATCTATTCCTACATGAGAGAAAGGACGGGATTGATTGATTCTGATTTTGGGAAGATCACCCATAATGTATTCTGTGTTGGTAGGATTGAGTCTAAAGCATTGTATGCATTGTCGTACAATTTTCCGCACTTGATTGCGACCATCAAGAATCCAAAACCGTTGACGCAAGGCATACAAGGTTGTTAATATGCCTGCATGCAAACTACGAAGGTGTTCTTCGCGAATGATTATATTAGTAATATGATGCGATTTTGGGAGCAAAATAGGATGTTGCTCGGAATTCAGTTACGAGCAATGGACCTTTGTAATGATTAGTGACTTTAAACCGCAAACAATACGCAATAATTCTTTTCATATTCGAGTAAGATGAGAATTTTTTTAAAATGTCAGTGTCTAACGCGATTGACGAAAGAACGGCCCTTTTTTTTAGATGAATCTTTTATTATTTCGAACGCGGATACTGGCCAAGTGTTTTCCGTTTGTTTTAGCCAGTGAGGACCTTCTTTCCAAATTTTATTCATTATAAATTCTGCGGGTTTTTGACCACGTGACAAACTATCAGCTGGATTGTCTGATGATTTGACGTGTTTCCAATTGTGACCGTTCGTTTTCTTTTGAATATCGGAAACTCGATTGGCGACAAAGGTTTTGAGCTGATGCGGGGATGTATTAATCCACGAAAGCGCGATAGAGGAGTCAGTCCAAAATGTAATCTCGTGGACAGGCATATTTAGGGATTTATATACCGATAAGAACAAATTGCTTAGGAGTACTGCTGAACAGAGCTCCAGACAAGGAAGTGTAATCGTTTTTAACGGTGCAACCCGAGATTTTGCGCAAAGTAGGTGACACTCAATTTTTTCTCTACTGTCTATAGATCGTACGTAAATGCATGCCCCGTAGCCTTTTTGACTTGCGTCACAGAATCCATGAATTTGGACATTGACTGGATTTTCAATGAGAAAGCGTCGTCTAAAGGTCAAATCATTTATGAGCTTCAATTGTTCGCAAAAATCTATGCATGTTGTGGGAATAGTATCCGGTACCGATTCGTCCCAGTTCAATTTTGATTGCCAAATTTGTTGCATTAGAATTTTTGCAAATAGAATTATCGGGCCTAGTAAACCTAATGGATCGAATAGCTTTGAAATGTCGGAAAGAATAATCCGCTTACTGATTTTAGAAAGAGTATTAGGTGGTTCGACTGAATAAATAATATTGTCATTACACGAGTTCCATGAAACACCAAGCGTTTTTACTGTTTTGTTTTCGTTAAATTGAAGATTTAAATTAATTTTATTGTTTGGTATCCCTTCTAGCAACTGTGGATCGTTGGAAGCCCATTGTCTAATATTTAGCCCGCCTAATTTTAAAAGATTTATTATTTCTTCTCGCTTTTCAATTCCCTTTTCTATTGTATCGGCCCCAGTGATAAAATCGTCAACATAAACCTCTTCCTTTAACGTTTTAGCGGCTTCGGGATAACGGTCAATTTCATCGTCGGCCAATTGTTGTAATGCACGTGTGGCGAGAAAGGAAGAAGAACTTATTCTGAATGTGACGGTATTTAATTCAAAGATTTCAATGTTTTTAATATCACGTCTCCAAAATATTCTTTGAAACTTCCTATCTTCTTTCCGAATTCTAAATTGGCGATACATTTTTTCTAAATCTCCAGTTAAAACGAATTTGTATGCTCTAAACCGAATCATGTGAGCGAAAACGTCGTTTTGAATCGTTGGACCAACCATTAAAACATCATTTAGTGAAAGTCCGGATTCTAATTTAATCGATCCATCGAAAATCGAACTAAATCAATGTATTCTTGCAAATTTGCGTTATACTGATCTTTTAATTCTGGCGATTTATTGAGCTTTCTTTCTAAACTATAAAGACGTTTTAGGGCAATATTTCGTGAGTTTCCTAACTGTTTAAAATTATCACGGAACGGTAAGGCTACGGTGAATTTACCACTAGCATCTCGTTTAACGTGTTCTCGAAAATGATTTTCGCATTTTTTTTGTTCGTCGGAAAGGTGAACTATGTTTCTTTCTTCCTCTAATGCCCAAAATTTTGTTATGCATGTCTGTAAATCTAAAAGGTGACATTTAATTTCTCCCGGACACGTAGATGAATTTGAAACACTACCGCCTACTACCCAACCAAGACGAGTCTTTTGCAGAAGTAATTGATTCCCTGATTGAGGTGATAAATCAATTTGACCAATACAAAATAAAGATAATGATGGACCCGAACCTAACAATAAATCAACTGGACGAGGTATATGGAATAAAGGATCAGCAAGCTGGATGTTAGGTGGAATTGGAATTAGATCACTGGAAACTTTTTCATTGGGAATTAGATTTGCTATTTGAGGAATTATTAGAAAGCTAAATGTTTTTTGATAATCGTTATACAAGGAACGAATTGTAAGGGAGACAAAGGCCTTTGCGACCGTGGTAAGGTTATTTACAGCTCCTATAGGGATATAACAGCATTTCATTGGTAATTTTAGTTTTAAGGCTAGATTTTCCGTTATGAAATTTGCTGATGAGCATGTGTCTAATATTGCTCTGCATTCCACAGTTTGTTCGTATTTATTTACTGCTAGGACCATAGCACTAGTTATGAATTGACTAGTTGATGGGGTATTAGGTGGAAATTTATCCTGTTGATTATGGGATCGCCACTTTAATTGCTATTTTTTTGGTGATTTGATTTCCTGATGCAGTAGGGTATTGTGTTTTTCACCACACACCATGCAATTGCCAAATTTGCATTCATTGTCTCTATGATTATCTCGCATACAATTCATACAGTAAGACGCGTCTGTTATTATTTGGATTCTTTCCGGCACAGAAATAGCACGAAATTTTTCACAACAAAAGAGGTGATGGGTTTTTGATCGACAGGCAGGACAAGGTTTAAGAATCGAAGTCGCTAATGAGGGGTTCGCGCCTTTAAAGGTTTTCTTCTTGTTTTCGGGGGCATTATTCGTTATCTTTGGATTAGGAGGATTTTTTACTTCTCGTTGAGTTAAACGAGTTGCTGTTCGGTATAAAAATTCGAACAGGTCATCGAGTTTTGGGAATTCATTTCTTTTTAGTGTTTCGTCCCATTTATCTAAGGTGCTTTTGTGTAATTTCTCTTCTATATTTTGAACGAGAATTTCCTCGGAGATGTTTACACCGAGTGACATTAATGATAAACGATGTTGTTGGGTTTCATCTGCTAATTTTATTAACCCTTCTGACGTTTGTTTCTCTTGTACTGGTAACCGTAATATCAAACTTAAATGCCTAGAAATAATTAGTCGTTTGTCCCCATTAGTTTTTTCTAATAATTCCCAAGCTTGTAAATAATTATTCTCTGAGATTGGAAAGATTGATATTTTTCGCGCCGCTTCCCCTTTTAATGCCGATTTTAGATATTGAAGTTTTTCAATATTTGTTAAATCCGTTTGTTCGTGAATTAACGAGGAAAATGAATTTTTAAAGGAAAGCCAATCTTCGATTTTTCCATCAAATGTGGGAATGTTTGAGGTAATTTGACTTTTCGCTTTGTGTGTACGCATTCTGAAGTTTGATGGATTGAACCACCGTCTGAACTATCACCTAATTGTATCGATCGGTGACCGTTCGCGAGAAGATGTTCCCCCTGAGAAACCGTATTAAAAAAGACATTTTGAATTGTGTATCTTTCGGCGGCTAATACCGTTTGATCGATTTCGGTATTTAATAATTCGATTTCATCTTGAATATCATCAAAGGAAGTAAACAATCTTTTTATTTTTTCTAATCGTAATGAAAGTTGGGTTAAATTTATCTGCCCTACGTTCTGTGTTTCAAGGAAATCTCTAAAATTATCAATTTGTCCTTGAATTGTTTCGCGTCTTTTATACAATTTTTTTAATTGATCGTCCGACATTGTTTAATTTTTTAATTTAAGGAGTAGGAAGTTGGTATGGAAGGAAATGACGATTGTAACACATACCTTTTTAATATATTCGGCTCGATGGACCATGTTTTATTTCTCCATCCTTTTTTTGGCGAAACTCTTGTCCACTGATGATGATGGAGAACGAAATAATATACGCACGAGACACAAAAACAGAAAATAAAGATTCGCAAGAAATAATAATTAATTAACAAAGAACATTAATAATAATTAACACAAAATGGACACTTAAATAATTATTTTAGTTTATTATTACTTCTCGGTTTGAAAGTACACGAATAACTGAGTAAAATTAATTTTGTTCTTACCTAAACCCTCTTTTCTTCACTTCAAGGAAGGGGAAGGTTCAGGTAAAACGTATTGTCGATTTTGGTTCGAACCCCTTTCTTTCTCATCGTAAAGAGAAAGAAAGTTTATCACAATCGTATCGCCCTTTTATTGACTTTGAGCCTTTGTTTATCCCATCGCGAAATAAACAAAGGTCTCTACAATTTTATTACCACTCATACCTGAATATCCTTTATAAATTCAAAACTAAATACAAATTTTAATATTATTTCGCACCTAAGACTGTCTAGTACTTAAGGTTTAAAGCGCAAAAAAAACGAAAATTATCGAATATATATTTTATTATTTTCTTTAATAACCATCTTTGGGAATCAGTCTTTAGTAATAAAGGCGTACAAAGGCCATCTGTTTCTTAAAAAATCATAAAATTTATAATATGGAAAAAATTGCAAATCTCTCCATCTTGCCCCACCGGCGCGGTACTAAAAAAGCAACCTATTTCTGTCGACAAATTTTACAAGTAAAGGTTGCATCTTCATCTTCGTCATCGACACCAGCACAACTGCACAAAGCCCATTGACCGCAGACAGAACAAGCAGCCCAGCCTTCATTTGAGTCTAAATAATAACCATTACAATTTATAGAGACAAGGTGTATTTTCAACTTTACCATCGCTAATTATTGATTTAACCTGACAAGCTTTTTTCTTTTTGGTCACTCTTATTTTATTCAGTCTTGATTTAAGTAGTTTTCTTAACTTCCCTTATTTCTCTTTTCTTTTGCTTCATTTGTGTTCCCCGTCTTGCCTCACTCTTCCCTACTCTATCTTGCCCGCACCTACGAAATTGAATAAAATGATTAATTACTCAAATTTACGATTCAACAAAGAAAAAAACATGCTTCCCTTCTTTTGTAACCCTTGCCAGTTATAAAAAATTTTATATAGTTCATTAAGTGTTATTATTAAATAAAATAAACACCTAAAAAAAGTAAAAAATTCACAAGAAAATCGTCGAAAACAGTTTTTTTAGTAAAACAGATAAAAGATTTGTTCTCATGGCTCATGTCTCGGTGCAGTATTATGTAAAATATAATCGCGATTGGTTAATTCGTTTGTTAAATAGGGCCGGTACCCCGTCTTGCCCCACTCACCCCTATAAGTCCCAAAAATCACTTTTTAGTTTTTGTAAATACAACTGTTTTAAAAAATGATTGGATTTGTTTAAAATTTGTTACTCAGGGGTTTCGGGGTCGCTGATTGCGAATATGATGTCAAAATAAAAAAATCTGTGGACAGATTCCTAATCAGCGACCCCGAAGCCCCTCGAGTAACGAGTTTCAGCACGCAGAAAAATCCGATTGAAAATTGTGGAGTTCAGCGCTAGTAACTTAGATTTCATTCCCAAACTTGTCTACCTTTGTGGCTCCAGGATAGAAAACAGGGAAATGAATCGTAAAAGGTTTAAAGCACGTCAGTAGGCTTAAAATGTTTTCGTTCTTATGCACACTTACACGCGGAACAAAGCATACTAAACACATTGATAGGCGCTTCTGGGCGGAGTCCAAGGCAAGTCTAGTGCCGAGTCCCATACTGAATATAATGTGAGCAGATCTTCTAGTGACCTACATTATTACTTTTATTTGTCAAAATATTTACTTTTATTGGAATATTCAATTTGAAACTAAATATAAGATCTAAAAATGAAACAACTGAAAATATTAGAATACTTTGAATTTTAAAAAATTTCTCACTGGAATTTTTATTATTGTTTAGATATTTAAACGTAGAATCTCTTTAAAAATTAAATACAAGTCCTTTGCCATTTTTACTAAAATGATCTGTTTTAAAACGTTTAAAGAAAGAGATTTTATTTAAATATCTACAGATTAAATAAAAATCCCAATGCGAAGATTTTTAAAATTCAAAGTATTCTCTATTTTTTTAAATATTATTTCATTTTAGACTTTACATTTAGTTGCCTAAATTGAACATAACAATAAAATATAATAACAATTAGGCATTGCATAACCGGCTAAAAACAAAACCGAGACTTCCGTGTATATCAAAAACGAAGAAACTGAACAAACGCGGGCGCAGGCGCGCCACCGAGTTTCGCATTCCTAAAAACTGTTTGGGAATGAATCTAAGGACTCTCGCACAGAACAGTCCCCGTTTAAGTGAACGTTGATACAAAGTTTGTAACAATTGAGTAGCTGAATTAAAATAAATGCAAATAATAATAATTGTATCTAATTCTTTTCACCTTTCAATTAATTGCGGAATCTGATTGCACTTGTTGAAAGAAGACTATTGGCGTTTATTAAGATATTTAGCATTGATCTTCATTGAAAATCGTTACTAAACTTTTTAGGATAGAGAACCAAAATTTAATATTTCTTCCTATGATAATACAAATCATTCAAATTGTTTTATATTCAGTCCGAAATCTGAATTTTCATTTTTCTCCGTGAGGCAAATTGAATCGATTTTTAAAAGTCGATCGCCATATTGGATCCAACATTTTGAGTTTTGAAAATCTGACGTCATATTCGTAATCAGCGATCCCGAAAACTCCCGAGTAACAAATTCTTAGAGAATCCAATCACTTTTTTAAATACCCAGATAGCCAAGCGTACTAATCATTATTTTTTAGTACAGCGTATTGGTATCATACTCATATTGCACTAGCACGAAATAATAAGGTATGTACATACCAGTACGATACTAGTATAATAACGGTATGTCATACGGATAGAATTATGAAATTACCAAAGTACTCCGTACGAGTATAACACTAAGTACAATACCAGTACTCCGAACTAATTGGTATTTTAGGTTATGAATTTACAATGCTTCTCCGCCATTATATGTACGATATACCAGTACAGTACCTGGTACAGTGCGAAGGTACATGGCTGGTACAGTAATAGTACGCTGGTTATCTGGGTAGTTGTATTTAGGTCAATTTGTATGCAGGACAACTGTTGAAAAATCAATTTTGACAGTTAATTTAGTTTGTTGTTGTCAATATCTCGATCTCAGACAACGAAAATTTTTATTTTTTTGCAGGCTTCTGAAATTATATATTATATGGGTGATTCTCCTGAAAGGGACCACTTCACGTGTCTCCAACATGAGGTTCATTATTTAAATTAATTTTTCATTAATATTTTATCAAGTTATAATCTACAAAGATTTATCTATCTTTATATAATCTTCTATTGCTTATATTTAAATTTCTTCCTATTTAAAAAACATTTAATTTTGTCATCGAATTTTGGTTAAACAGAATGTATATTTTATAATTATATTTTAACGTATTTAAATAATTTCAACATATTTATGATATATATCAAATTAAAGTTCAGAATATAAGGATTATTTTTTACTTACATTTGTTTAAAATAAGGTAAAAAAAGTTATTTAAATTATTAATTAAAATAGTATTATCAATGAGAGTAAAAATTAAATTCATCTCCGAAGCCTCATTTTCTATATAATAACATCATATTTTTTAACGTTTTAAACATAATATGTAATCGATGTGAAAATATTTGATGATTAAAACTAAAAATATTGTTTAAAAAATTGTAATATTTTTAAAATTAGAAAAAATGAGAATTTTTTCATTAAATTATCAATTCATCTCCGAAGCCTTTTTTATATTTGATAGGCGTTTTCTTTTGTTTTTAATTTTTTAATCATTGTTTTGAAATATTTAACCCTCAAATTAAATTATTAATTTAATAAAAATAAAATATACAATCAAAAAGTGCAATAAATTAAAACATAACAATTTATTATTTAAAAAAAATATTCCTACCGAGTTTTTTTTTACAAAATAATTAATTTAAAAGTTATAATTAATTATACTTAACCTCTAGAACACATGATAATAAAATGTTCCTGGAGGTCTTATTTCTGAAAATTAATTTCGCGCAACTTATATTTTTATCTTTAAACATTTTCTAAACTTATTTATGAAAGAAAAGTAACCAAAAAAAGAATAATTTGATTTTTTGGAAATTCAACCAAAAAAGAGTCCCTTTCAGAAGAATAAGAATAAAAAAAAGAATAAGAATATAAAATAAGAATATAATTATTACTATATAATATATAATAATATATATATTAATATTAATTATATATATATTATATATAATATATAATTATTATATATATATATATATATATATATATATATATATATATATAGCACTTTAACATGTGACAGACGTGTCCAAATTCAAAAAATTAAAAAGTTTTTTGAAGAAGAGACAATTCGGAACCATAATTATCAAAGCTTCCACATTAAGATAATAAATTTT